TCGAATTCAGGCTGACAATGGCCTCGAATTTCAGTCCACGTCGCTGCGTGATTTCTATGAGAAATCTGGGATTCTTCTGCAGACCAGTTGCACCGACACCCCTCAGCAAAATGGGGTAGTCGAACGCAAGCATCGTCACATCCTCGACACGGCCCGAGCACTTCGGTTTCATGCAGGTTTACCGGTTCGTTTCTGGGGAGAGTGTGTGCTCACTGCCGTATATTTGTTGAATCGGCTTCCCACTTCTGCCACCGGTAAGACTCCATTTGAAGTTTTGTTCGGGCGGATCGCTAAGTATGATCATTTACGCGTGTTCGGCTGTCTTGCGTATGCAAAAGAAACCCACAGTCATCTACACAAGTTTGCCGAGCGAGGTCGTGCCTGCATCTTCCTCGGATATGCTGCTAGTCAGAAGGGATATCGCCTTTTTGACTTAGACGCCCAGAAAGTGTTTGTTTCACGGGACGTCGTCTTTCATGAGTCCCATTTTCCCTATCGTGCCCAGGATAATGCAGCCTTTCATTGGCTGCCGTCGGATGTGTTTTGCGATGACGTCCCAGCTCAAAGCTCCTCCACTTTGCCTGCTCCCTTGGCCACTTCTTTGCCTTTGCAGTCGAAGTCGAGAGATGCCTCCAGCCCGCAGAAGTCGCCAGTTCCCTTGTCCGAGCCATCTCCTCCGCCCAGTCCGAGTCCCAGCACTGGCGAGGAATCGCCCGTTCAAGCCGAGTCAACCCCAGCGCCCGACGTTGGTGCTGCTGTCCCGCTCCGCCGTGGTGACCGGCCGCGAGTTCGGCCGAAGCACTTGGCTGATTATGAAACCAATAATGTCGTTGCTTCCAACATCAGGTATCCCTTGTCAAATTTTGTTGATTATGCTAATGTTACCCAGCATTATCGTTGTTTCCTTGCAGCCATCACCCGTGACGATGAACCGCGCACATTCAGCCAGGCGGTGCGTCTTGCTTGCTGGCGTGCCGCCATGGCCGCGGAGATTGCTGCATTGGAAAAGAATAAAACTTGGACTCTTGTGCTTCCACCAGAAGGCCGTCGTATCATCGACTGCAAGTGGGTGTTCAAGATTAAGTATCGCCCCGATGGGACGATCGAGCGATACAAAGCTCGGCTTGTGGCTAAGGGATTCACCCAGGTTGAAGGTGTCGATTTTCACGATACATTCGCTCTAGTGGCTAAGCTGGTCACTGTTCGCTGTTTGATCGCCGTTGCTGTCCAGCGCGGCTGGTTTCTGCATCAGTTGGATGTCAATAATGCCTTCTTGCACGGCGATCTGCAAGAAGAGGTCTACATGCGTCTACCTCCAGGTTTTGCAGCACCCGGGGATCAACGAGTTTGCCGGTTACACAAGTCCCTCTATGGTCTTCGTCAGGCTTCGAGGAACTGGTACCAGAAGTTCACGACTGCCTTATGTGAGATGGGTTTTCGGTCGTCTCCAGCCGATCATTCACTGTTTGTTTATCGTCGAGCTGACACCTTTGTCGCTGCCCTCATATATGTCGATGATGTTATCTTGGCTGGTAATGACCTCACCTTCATCAATCAGGTCAAGTCTTTTCTTGATCGTCAGTTCAGTATCAAGGATTTGGGGCCCCTTCGGTACTTCTTGGGCATTGAGGTTGCCCGTTCCCCAGCAGGTGTCGTTCTGAGTCAGCGAAAATATGTTTTGGATATTCTTGAGGAAGCTGGCGTCCAGGGGGCGCGCCCGAGTTACTTTCCCGTTGAACAGAACCATCAGTTGACCAAGCCTGACGTCGCCGAGCCTCTGGTTGATGGGTCTTCCTATAGGCGCCTTGTTGGTCGCCTCCAGTACTTAACTGTCACTCGTCCGGATATCACTTATGGTGTCAATATCCTGAGTCGGTTCGTTCATGCTCCTACTCAGGCTCACATGGATGCTGCAGTTCGTATTCTTCGTTATTTGAAGCAGTCTCCTGGTCAAGGTCTTTATTTCCCGGCAAATGGTTCGCTGGAACTTAATGCTTACTGCGATGCCGACTGGGGAGGTTGTCAGAGCACGAGGCGGTCCACTACAGGCTTCTTCATTACCCTTGGTTCAGCTCCCATCTCCTGGCGTACCAAGAAGCAGAAAGTTGTTGCCCGGTCCTCAGCCGAGGCTGAGTATCGAGCCATGGCCAGCACGGTTAGTGAAGTTCTGTGGCTTCGCTGGTTACTTCGTGAGCTTGGGGTTTCCTCTACTCACGCCACTCCCCTGTACTGTGATAATCAAGCGGCTCTTCATATATCCGCTAATCCCGTCTTCCACGAACGCACTAAGCATGTGGAGATGGACTGTCACTTTGTTCGAGAGCGTGTTGTTTCTGGTGATATCGCTCCTCGTAAGGTTCGTTCCGAGTTGCAGCTTGCAGACATGTTTACTAAAGGATTGGGCACCGATCGTTTCCAGTTCTTGCTCTCCAAGCTAAACGTTCGTGACCTCCACCGTTCAGCTTGCGGGGGCGTATTGGGCCGAGCCGAGTCACCGCATGCAGCGTCAAAGCCCACGTCCGAGTCTGTGCCCGAGACAGCCCATGCATCTGTTGCTGGGCATGCTGCTTGTTGCGTGACGACTACGTCACCGTCGTCGTGTGGGAGAGGGAGTGCTTTTGTAACCCTAGCTAGCTCAACATATATATGTAACCATGAACAGCCGAAAGGCTAAGTGTGCAAGTAATAATAACATAAGAAGCTGGAGAGGCTGATCTCTCCCGTGGACTAGTCCCGATCAATCGGGGATACCACGTAAACACCGTGTCTTTTCCTTTTGCTTTGTGTGATTGATTCGTACGAGTTCTCATAATATGCATACACGACTATAAACGGGCCCAAGCCCACCGCAAGGCATCTCGGGCCCAAGCCCACTCAAGGAGGCCCAAGCTCTATATAAGGAGGCCAAAGCCTCCAAGCCAAGGGGTCTCTTCCCTTCCACACTCTAAGCCTAAGGTCTCTCTCTACATACCATAAACCGCATACCATATCGTACTAACTTGGGCGTCGGAGCGTAGATCCCGGGGGCCGCCCCCCGCCTCACAGGTTCTTCCCCTCTCGAGGAGATCAGACGAAGGAGTCCAGATCGGAGCCTCACAACCGCCTAGTATATTCTAGGCTCAAACAATTGGCGCCCACCGTGGGGCAAAGATTCTGGTACTTTTTTCGTTTGATTTCTGAAAGAGGGGAAGAAATCAGCTCCTCCATCAATTACAAGCAGCCGCAACAACTATCAAAACAGACCAAAGCTACCGGAGCAAAAGAAAAGCGCTCAGATCTACATTTTCTTAGAAATGAATTCTTCCCTCACCTACCACACAAGGATCGGCGGCAACGACAACAAAAGAGGAACCGCTGAGAACGGAGTTCAAGATTTACAGAATGCTCAAATGGAAGTATTAGGCAGGGGAGCTTTTTCTACTCTCTAGAGCTATCTCATGACGAGCGTCCCCATTCAACCACAACAAGCAGCCGAACCAAAGAATCCTCACATTCAGCTTGCAGATCCTAGTAACACTCCAAGGAAGAGAAGAGGAAAACCAACGGAATCAACCAAGCATCCTCGTCCCTTGCCGCCGACCAAGATTGGAAGCCTCTATCAATCGCCGAACAAACTCGACGCCGGAGCTCCTCATAATCGCTCGTCATTCCACTGTAGGATTGAAAGAAGGAAGAAGTCGGAGGTTTCGACCTAGCAGCATAACTCGCCGCCGTCATTCGTCTCCGCCAGGGCAACCCGTCGTCGTCACCGCTCGTCGCCCCGACTCTCGTTACTGCCAGCATCGCCATCGCCCCTACAACTTGGTTGCGTCCTCGGGAAATAAAGGAAGAGAAAAGGAGCACCAGAAGAAATAAATTGGTATTTTGGGATATATATATATATATATATATGGTTCAGGCTAGCGTACGCCCGGGCGTACGCTAACCTTAGCGTACGCCCCTGTTCACACTTACTATCATTTTTAATTAATTAGAATTAAATTAATAATTACTAAAAAGTACAATTACAACTATCCTTATTAATTTAATTTTTGTTACTGTTTAGTCCCAAATTATTTTAAACTTAATTCAATAACATATACATCTGACATAAAAATTTCGGTACCATAATTTTTAACAATCTTGATTTATTACCCACAAATTTCTTATTGCAAAAGTAGTTCCATCTTTATTTGAAAGTTGTAAAATTCCATCCAAGTTGTTTTCGTTAATCATTTAAAATGTACAACTAAACCTGATGTTCATTTTTTTATTTGAGAAAGACTCCACACTCACAGAAGCACAGACCATTCATCTCCTACGGTCTTTACCTCTTTTACCATCTTCGTTCTCCATCTGCCTTTCTCCTTCATCTTCGTCATTAGATCATGAGGTCGATCTCCCCCAGGAAGAAGGCTCTGCAAGGGAAGAGACACATCATATGGGGATGGGACGCAAGAGGGATGGTCTTCTCAGGTAGTTTTCCGAGAGATGAGCGAGTGCAATCAACTGGGCAAGCAATGGCGATTTCGTGGAGAGGTACCTATAAAAGAGTCGGCGCCAATCAAGCGATAGGGTATTTGACCGAAGAAGTTATTGAAAGGGCTTTTGAGGAGGATGAGGGAAGCGATTCAGGAAATTAGGTCAGGGATTAGGTCGGAGAACTTGGTTGCCTGGAGCGGGCGGAGTTAGGGTGGGAGACGGGATCTGACCAGAGCAGCGGGAGAGGATGAGGCTGCGGCGGGAGACTGGGATTGGCGCTGGAAGGATAGGGGAAGCGAAAGTTAGGGGGTATTGTCCAAAGGAGCCAAAGCCAGGTCGTCGGTGATGCTAAGATGAATGGAACAGGAAATATGATTGTCGCTGGAAAGGGAGGAGACGCGACACTTGGGTATTTTCAGAAGGAGCGGAAGCCAGGTCGTGGGCATGTGTTATTTGTTTTGGATGTTTCATTCACGATATGTATGTGGTAACTGAGGTTTCATGGTCCAGCTCCTTGATAGTATCAAGAGTTTTCACTGAGCCGGAGAGGGAAGAACTCTTGACAAAGCTGCAGCAGGTTGAGGACTGGATGTATGAAAGCCGAGAAGATGAGACCAAGGGTGTTTATATTGCCAAGCTTGAGGAGCTTAATAAGGTAGTTTATTGCTTGTTCTCATCCGGAGGAAAGATGAAAGTGGTGATTTCTTTCACAGTTGTTCTAAGTGGGATCAAACTATTGCAGCAAGGTGACCCAATAGAGCATCGGTACAAGGAGTCCATCGAGAGGGGATCCGTAATTTATCAGCTTGGTCATTGTGTTAACAGCTACAGGGAAGCCGTTGTGGCTTGACGATCCCATAATTGATCATATTTGCAGCTGAAAAACAAAAGGTGCGCTTTTATCACTGGAACTCTATTGTTTCAGTTCAACCGAGACTTATAAATGTGATTTTGTATTGTTTGTTTTTATCAAATAAGTATGCTGAGTTTTTTATACGAAATTGTTGAAAATGGGATAAATATTGTATTTCAAAATTTACTTCTTGTGATATCTTGAACTTCTTAAGATTTTTTATTCGATAAGACGGGATCTGATATCATCCCATTCCCCGTCTCTTTCTGTTGTATTTAGTTGTTGGGATGGGTTATTTTAATCATTTGAAACACTAAAAAATCATAAAATCATAACAGAAAATATAAAATCAGATCCCTTCTTCATCAATACTGACAGTTGTCTATTTAAGCATCTCATCGCTGTGACTACTGTGTTTATTATTTTCAACTGCAGAGCCAAAAATCCACTAGTGTCATGGCAGGGTGCGTGTGTGCTATTTTGCTTGGCTTTGTTCATTGCTTTGTAATGGCCCTTGCTTACGTTTATTTATGTTGGTTATGTTTTTTCAGCTTAGACAAGGAAACGGCAGCACCTGATCACCTGAAATCAAATGAGGTAAAATATCTGCGGTTATTACTTTTGTAAGCCATTGTGGTTGGCTATGATGTGTTTTCCTTGGCTTCGTGGTTGTTGTGTTGGGGTTTCTGTTGTTTTTGTTTATCTTTTTAGATTGTAACAGCAGTGCTGGGCTGCTCCACCTATGCGTGCTTCTTTTGTGTTATGGTTGTTTGGTTGAGCTCTTGGCAACCAAAGGCCTTCTTTGGACTTTTTTTACACATCAATAAAGTTCCCCCATTCGTAAGAAAATTTGTGAGGTCTTATTGTTGCTACAATTCCATTCGTATTTCCTGCTACCTAAACTTTGCCTATTTCCTATGTAGCTGGCGAGCCTACATTCTCTCATGGCTGACTTGGCAAACACTCAGCTTACCATGAAAAGGGAGTTCGAGGAGAGTATGAATTCGTTGAGGGTAGGGATGAATTCGTTGAGAGACTTATTGTTATCGAGATTGGGTGATAACGTCGAGAATGTCAAGAAGGAGAGGAAAGATGATGTTGTTGAAGTAGTCAACATTAGCAGCGACAACTCCTTCTCGCTGTCAGCAAGGAGTAAGCCAAAGATGACAAGCACTGCCACCAAGAGAAAGGTGTTGTGTTTTCCTTTATTTCGTTTTATCTTTCTGTTTTGACTGTGTTATGATTTTCTGAATGTACTGGATTTTTGCTAGGGAAAGGTTGTTTTGAAGTCTCCGGTTAGGGTACGAAGTCCTATTCTGACCCGACAAGATACCGAGAGGAGAGGTTCAGCAAAACAGGTGATCGGACCCTTCATCAGTACACAACATGTATCAAAAAGGGATAAGCTTCTAATCAGGCATGCATTCGATCAGTCAAAGGACGCAAGGTAAAATTAATTTGTTTCCAGTTGGGTTTTCATTTCTTCTGTCGTGTAAACTGATTTATATTATCTTTTGTATTTTAAAAAAGTTTTGAGCAATAATATCTTTATGATTTGTCATAGTTCTCTTCTCTTGACCGATACTTCTAATCTTTGTTCACACTTTGTCAAATCAAATGAAATTACTGAGAATACTTTTATGGCAAATTCTTGGTATCCCTCAATGAATATCTTATTTACTGTTGTAGTGAGGTGTTGGTCAAATCTCCATGGTTTCATTTAAACCGTGCAGAGTTTAAGTTGCTATTACCTGAAACATGGTTGTCTACCCAGGTTAGTGTTACATTTATTTTAAAGATTAAAATCAGCATAAAAGGGTTTTAAAGGGTAGAGGTTGTTTACTGTATATTGATTTTGTGTTGTATATTTGTATAGATAATGACTATGTGCACAGACTTGTTAACCTTAGAGGACTTTTGTGAGAAGAGACGTGTGCATTGGTTCTTACCGCCAGCATTTGGTGTAAGTGGATTTATATTTTCCCTTCCATTTCTCGCAAATTTCACCATCTATGTAAAATGTTTTGTGCGGGGTTCATCTTTTAGGAAGCGTTCTCTTTCCCTTTCCCCCTCGCAGCAAACAATGGCTCAATTTGAGGAAAAGAATGGTGGAAACTGCAGAGCTTCTTTCCTTCGAAGTTCTTCTATGTTACTGTTCCTATTTTGTTTCCTTTCAATTATATTATTAATAGCACAAGTTACTTTTACATATTTTTACTGTTCCATTCGAAAAAATAGCAAAAACCATATTGTTACGAAAAATTAAGTTTAGTTACTGTTCACTTGGGAATTAATCACCTAAGCGCTGCTCCATAATATTCCCTTCCGTAATTAAGGTTCCCCAGGTATTTTGCCAACCTACTACTTTTTTACCTTTTCTCTCTAACAATTTGCTTTGTTCTTTTAGTTCACAAATCTTGGCAGGTATTGGCAGAGAAGGGAAGAAGACATATATTTTCAGCTTCTTTTTTATAAAAAGAAAACCAAAAACACAAAAATAAATATTTAACAATGAACTATACTTTTACATATTTTTACTGTTCCATTCGAAAAAATAGCAAAAACCATATTGTTACGAAAAATTAAGTTTAGTTACTGTTCACTTGGGAATTAATCACCTAAGCGCTGCTCCATAATATTCCCTTCCGTAATTAAGGTTCCCCAGGTATTTTGCCAACCTACTACTTTTTTACCTTTTCTCTCTAACAATTTGCTTTGTTCTTTTAGTTCACAAATCTTGGCAGGTATTGGCAGAGAAGGGAAGAAGACATATATTTTCAGCTTCTTTTTTATAAAAAGAAAACCAAAAACACAAAAATAAATATTTAACAATGAACTATATTACCGATAAATATAATTTTCTATTATATTATTAGACCAAATATTACGAAAGATTTATATAAAACCATTCTATAACAATTATGTAAATTAAAATTAAAAATTCATGAATGTAATTTACTATAACGTGATTTTATTATTAGACCATACATTATGAAAAATTTAAGTAATAACTATCTATAATTGTTACATGTGATTTTTTTTTTCTCAACGGATACTAGAGTTTTATCACATATACCCAAATTTACCATAATCCCATTCTCTCTTTTTAAACATACTATTCATATGAGTTTTATCTCCTACAACCAATTCTATGATAAGTCTAAAGTTTATATGAAATTCTACGATAAATTATTAACTGAAACTCCTGTACTTTCGATGTTTATTACTAAATAACATGTTATTTTCTAAAATTTGATTTTATCATTAGATCACACATTATCAAAGATTTATGTAATAATATTCTATAATATTTCTTTATCTCATACATCTAATTTTATCATAAGTTCTTGATTATTTAATTTTGGCATAACAATTTAATCATATGTTACTTTCGTGTTACTTTCTATCACAACACATTATGAAATGAAATATTTACGTAAAAAAATTATATGAAAGTTACATAAATTAAAATTTCATGAATGTTACTTACTATAACGTGACTTTATTATTAGACCAAACATTATGAAAAATTTATCTAATAACTCTCTATAATTGTTATATGCGTTTTCCTTAATGATTAAGACACTACGTAAAGTTTATGAACATTAATCATTATATCTGTATCAATTAAAAAAATATGTAAGTTTTATATAATGACTAAACACTACGTAAATCTTACGTTGAAATAGTTATTTACTATGTATCGCTTAAACACAAGGATGACTATGTTATTCGTAATGATTAAGACATCACGTGAAACTTGCATATGTCTATTATCTGAATAATTTTGTAAATTATTTGATTTAAACTAAATCATTAGTTTCATACCGCGGCGGAGCGCGGGCCAAAAAACTAGTATATATTATTTTCGTTGGTGGGCGTTTAGGGTCGCACCAGTCATCTTCTAATGAGTATCGAAGAGGTTACTGTTAAGGTAATTCTTGATTGGTATGCGTATCAGTCGTGTATCGGTGACTTTCAATGAGGAGCAAATCTCACACTGAACTTATGGTCAAGAGAAGACTTAATAGTTTGTCTCAATTGGTACAAGAAAATGAGCATGCACATCATTTTGTTAAAGGAGAAATGGTCAGCAACAATTACTTTGCACTGGAAAACCCCAGCAAATCCATCAGCCTTCTCGATCAGCTCTTCAACAGGAATAGCAGCAATGTTTGAGTCCTTATCCTGACCAAGCAGGGCAGCAGATGGATACATATGTGTTCCCAGTCCCAGTCTTCGTCCAGTTTCTTTGCCAATAGCGAGTTGATCACCTAGAATCATAATGGAAAAAGGTGTAGAAATGGTCAGCAACAATTACTTTGCACTGGAAGTCAGTTTTCAATGGAGGGAGAGAAACTAGTTAAACTTACCAGTGATCATCTTGACATTCACGCCAAGCTGAAGAGCTCGGCGGATTGTTTCAGCACTGTCGTGTCTAGGAGGATCAAAGAGATTCAACAAGCCAAAAAAACTCCCAGGGACCACAAGGGCTTTCCTTTGTTTTCTCTGGCACCTCCTGCCTCGCAACACCCAGCGACCGAAGCCCACGTTCAGCCAATTTCTCAATAACAGAGTGGACTTTCCTCCTCAGATCTTGACTTGAGTGGCACAGCTCCAGGATCTAATAACATTCATGAAGGATTTAGTTAACGTCAAGAGTCAAAAGCGGAAGGACAAGAAGAAAAAAGGAAGCACCATGTTACCTGCTCAGGAGCTCCTTTACTTGCACGGTACCATTTTCCATCAGACTCGTTGATGTAAGTGAGAGCAGTTCTTTTGTCCACGGGATTAAATGGAAGGAAATGGACTTCTCGAATACCAGCTCTTGCCTGCAGAATAATATAGTAATTACATGTATAAGTCAAACATTCATTCAGTGCGGCATCTCTTTCACAGTAGTGATGGGAAATTATTTTACCTCCTTAGGGTCAGCAAGCATGTTTAACATGCAAGCATCAATAGCATCCTGATTCTCAACCCTAGAAGCCCTGGCAGCAGTCAGTATGACATATTCCTTGTCCACACCTTTAATAAACACTTCAATCAAGTTCTTGTCGATGCTGAGCTTGTTGAGGGTCAAGGTTCCAGTTTTGTCACTGCACAGAACATCCATGCCAGCCATCTCCTCAATGGCAGTCATACGCTTGGTAATAGCTCCTTGCTGAGAAAGCTTGTGGGATCCAATAGCCATTGTCACAAATAAGACCGTGTGCTTTTGTTTATGAACTAAAAATGACATTAGTTTGCCAAATAGTTAAATTCCGTTCATAGGAAAAGGACATGGCAGCAGAAGCAACAATACATTAAAGCAGCAGAAACTTGACGCTCAACAGCAGGAATAAATAACTAACGTTAGAAACATGTCAGATTTCCATGCTCAATTTTAACAAATCAGGGTAAGTTAATAGTACCAATCAATAACAGGAAGTAAATGAAAATCATCAAGTCAACATACAACATACTACTTCTCTGCCCACACTAAGCTCACCAGTTAAGAAACACCAGGTAGCTTCACCTTTACTCAAACACAGCCTGACACAGAAGAAAGAGAAATGACTATTGTCACAATAGCAGCCACAAAATCCTCTTCCAACGTATCAAGTAAACTTTCCAAAGCTTCACTGAACCTTCCATTTGAATCACACCCACAACCCATAGAATCTAAGATATAAAGTAGTGTATACAATATCTTGATTAATGTTCCAAAAATGGAATCCAAAAAGTGAGAGACAAAGCAAGGATTAACAGAAGCTAGCTTAGGGTAGCTAGTTCTAAACTCTAAAGTGACTAAATATCCAGTCAAGCTTAAGACTACTCCACTCCCACCATGTTGCCATACATGTTGCTTTGACGATGAAAAATGCTACAGCAGAGGAACTTGCAGCGACAATCCAAACATCTGTTGATGGCAAGAAGAAGTAGAGATGAGCAAAAGTGGAAGTGGAAAAGTAATAAACTTCATGAGCTTCTCGAGTTGAACAGCTTCTCGAGTTGAATGTTAATGTACTCATTAAACCAACCCATAGAACTAAAGATCCACAGAACATACAGATTTAGCTAATTCACCTAGATTCTGAGGTCCTGGTTCTCGTGAATCATGAAGGCCTGCACACCACAAATAACATAGCACAAATTTCCAAATCTCTGGTTCAGATTTCCCTACAGCTTCAACAGCGAAGCACGCGTCCTCTACTGAAGTTATTTCTTCATATCCGATACCAATGGAAGGAAATGAGTTGTTTCCATCTTCTATGAACTCATTGAGAGGGGATGGGAAGAGAGAAGTGAAAAGGGACCCCATCCGTAATTCATGTGAGCAAAAAAACAAAAAGTGGAAACATGTTTAACAATCTCAAAACAGCCCAACGCTAGAAATAAGGAACAAAACAGTTTTCGTTCAAAAAAATAAAACGTCACAAAACAGTCCACAACAAAAGGTTTGAAATTATTTACCGTTTCCATATCAGCACAATTGGAACTGCTCCCGTTGACGCAATCTGACCAAAAAACATATTGGGATTACAAGCCTAGGAAACAAAGAGAACCGTGGAAAGAAGCAGTTTCAAAGCTGTACGAAGGGTTTGAAACCTGCTTGTATAATTTTGGTGGAAAAGAAGTTCAACAAAAAAGCTAACAGGTGCTGTCAAACACAAATGTAGATAGTGTTACGTTAGATTTATGAGCAACAATCTCCAACTGATCTGTGTCTATGATTTGCAGGAAAGTCATACGTTAAGGGTCTAACACATGGCAGGAGAGGAAAATCATGCTACTGCCAGGCAGGATAGCCACTGTGAAGACATGTATGATTTTACTGTAGAGAGAGAAGAATATGATGATCAGGATGATACCGATATTCTCATCGAAGAGGTCAATGTGAATGGTGATGATGATGATGCTGACCACAATGTTTCCAACGAAGAGAACCCTCTGACTGGAGATGACGAGGAGAATGAAAATCTGGCAAGCCTTACCGACGATCAAGTCATTGGTAGGAAGTTCAACAACATTGAGGAAGCTTATGCTTTCTACAACAAGTACGCCAGAGCTTGGGGGTTTTCGGTGAGACGAGAAAAGAAATATAAAACCAAAGAAGGGCAAATCACTTCTCAAAAATTTGTCTGCTCTAGTGCAGGAACAAAACGTAAAAGAGGAAAGGAATTACAGAGATCTGCGAGATGCATTACAAGGTTTGAATGTAAAGCTATGATGCATGTTCATCTGGACAGGTCAGATTCTAAGTTCGTTGTCGATGCTTTCAATGTCTATCATACCCATGATCCGGTTGGGAAAAAATTGGTGCATCATATGAGATCCCATCGACGCTTAGATGAAGCAACAAAGTCTGAAGTACGTTACCAACGAGATGCAGGTATGAGAACGGCTGATATCATGAATCAGCATGTTCAGAAAGCTGGAGGCTATGATAAAGTAGGACATACGAAAAAGGATTTGCATAATTTTGCCTCTAAAGATCGAAAAAAAAGGATCAGTGAAGGAGATGCTGCTACTGCACTAGCGTATCTAAAATAAAAAATCAGCATAGACAACCACTTCATCCTCGAACCCACTTTTGATGAAGATAAGAGACTTTGTAGCGTGTTCTGGGCGGACAGCATAAGCATAGCAGATATGGCATGCTTTGGAGATTTGCTAGCTTTTGATACTACATACAAGAAAAACATTTATAACATGCCGCTAGTTGTTTTCTCAGGTGCACAACTTTTCTCTTATCAAACTTGATCCGTCACTCCATATTTTATTTAGCTATACATAACTTCTATATCACTTTTTAGGTATCAATCATCATCGTAAGAGCTGTATATTTGGATGCGCTTTATTGGCTAACGAGACAGAAAAGAGTTATGATTGGGTTCTGGGGAAGTTGAAGAAAGCCATGGGAGACAAAGAACCTTGTACGATTGTAACAGACGGTGACAAAGCGATGCGGAATGCCATTCAGAAAGTATTTCCTACTGCAATTCATCGATTGTGTTCATGGCATATCGCTAAGAACATTGTGAGTCGTCTCAAGAATAATAAAGCATTTGAGCCTCAATGGAAGACGTTTGTATATGCTGATCTTGAAGCGGCTGAATTCGAAGAAAAATGGGCAGAATTGGTGTCAAGTCACCAACTTGAAAATTCTGAATGGGTTTCGGATTTATTTGACAGACGAGGGGAATGGGCATACACATACCTCCGATCTTACTTCTTTGCAGGGTTGTCAACAACCTCTAGGTGTGAAGGAATCAACTCACATCTTGGAAGGTATGTAACTGAGAATCACAATTTGCTTGAGTTTTTTATCCATTTTGATCGATGGATTGGAGAGTTGCGGGAAAATGAGGTGAAATTGGATTTTCAATCCAACCATGGTGTACCGGAGATGAAACATCCTATGTTAAGCACACTTGAAGAAAGCGCTGCAAAGCTTTTCACTAATAAGATATTTCGCAAGTATCAGAAGGAGCTTGTCAAGGTGGAGGGTTGTATCAAGAGCAATTTTGTGGTAGATGGAAGCATGCACAATTACCAGGTGACCTTGTTTGGGAAACACAAGAGTTATACTGTCAAGTATGATGTTGAAACCAAGGAAATTGAGTGTAGTTGTGCTAAATTTGCATACATGGGAATTCCGTGTTCACATATGATCTTTTTATTGAAAGAAGAGAACATACCAATGATTCCAGAAGAATTGGTATTAAAAAGATGGAGAAAGAATCCCAAGACTGTAGAAGTTATGCAACAACCAGTGAATATCAATGACCCTCGGTCATTTAACGTTAGGTATGGGATGCTGCAGTTTTATACATCGCGGTTTTGCTACCTAGGGGCAAATTCAGTCGATACTTATCAGTTTGCACAGAAGGTAATGGCTAGTGCCTGTGACGAGTTGGACAACATGCAAACTGATAATACTGAGAGGGCGACAATAGATGTACCAGCAGAATACAAAGATGTGTTAAATCCAATGAAGGTAGCATACAAAGGTGGTAAAACTGGAAAGAAGAAGAAGTCTGGCAAAAAGCATCGGAAGTGTAGTCGATGCGGAGAAGAACAACATTACAGAAGCACTTGTAAAAAGCCTCCAGGATATGTACAGCCTATTCCACCGGCGTCAGATGAGGAAACTGATGATGGAAACGATGAACCAGATGATTCAACAAACAATGGTCCAATCAGCCCACCACGTCAGGTTAATTTACTATATCATTTTTGTGAATTTACGAATCTTACAGATTTTTTTTTTATATAGTTTATGGTTTGAAACTAGTGTCTTTGATTTAGTTGAAGAGGCAAAAGACTAGGAGTGGTACCAAGCAAACTGAAGGTCAGTCCCATAACACTAATGGTGAAGACAACAACGGGGCTGTTAATGGTTCTAACTACCGACTTCGTAAGGTATTAGTTTTGAACAACATTACATACGAAACAAATTAAATTTATCCTACATTTTTTAATGTAAAACCACTACGCTTTACATCACAGAGGCCACCAGCTAAAAGTGTCGCCACAAGAGAAAGAGGCAGCAGTAGCTACAAGAATTGAAGTTGAAAAAGGCATTAACATACCTGTTGGGAAGGAAGTTTATGCCAAACAGCAACTTTTGATATTTGCATTGAAGAGACTCGAGCTTTTCTGTTTTTCCTATCGTTTGGTCAAATGAACAACTTTGTGTCATTATTTTGGTCTCGTTGATGTCTAATTGACTGAAGCATAATGCTAGTGAAAAGTCCTTCAACTAATGATTGTGCATTTCTACTTGGAACTTACCGGCGAAAGGGACTTTTGCTTCTGACGAATGCTTCTGAACAGGAAATGAGCTGGTACTATCTGGTAATGGCACCTAAGAAAATTTCCCAAATGTTTGAGATGCTATGAATTCCTTACGTGCTTGAGTTTGGACATCTATGGCATCTCGGTCCTGTTTGGTCCTTGCCTGCAATTTTTGCCCTGTGTATGCATCATGATTTTGGAGTTTATTTGCGTAGTCAGTTAATGAAGTAAACTTTTGGTGAAAGCAAATGAAAGGCAGCAATGAGAAACTAACCTAAGTTAGATATCCAGTGAAATTAAAATTAAACATAGTAGTTGACCACAAACATTGAAGGACAAGGCAAGCCATAATCTTGTTTCGGCTTTGCATACGGTTGGTGCAATGGTTTCACAGCGTCTGCAAGAGTCATCACAATAGCATGTTCAGCAGAGAAAATATTACATAA